AATCAGCGCCTACAATGGGAACAACAAATGGCTAATCAGCTCAATACATTGGGTACTCGGTTCGATGAAATTGCCACCGCTCAGAACTCACTAATTCATCAATTTGGTGAGTTTCGTGTAGACTCAGAGAGACGCGCTAAACTGACAAGGAACCGCATTGATCTGATTGACCATCGAGTCACTCAGTTGTACCATCAGCATTTCCCTCCACCTCCAACACCACCTGACAAGGATGCTTAACTTGTTTAAAAATCAAGTAAAATGGTTCACAGATATGGTGGTTATATTTTTTCCCCTTTTTTTGGTTTGGTTATTTATTTGGTGAGTTTTGTTGTGATTGTTTTACTTTTGTTATTTTGTTATAAACTTTTCTATTCACGTAATGAATAACAACGAGGGGTTTTTTTTGGAATCATTTAATTTCATAGTTATAATGTTATAACAATCTGTGCAAAAAGATTATGCATTGAAAAAATTATTTGTACAAAAATTAATAAATAGTACTTCATAAATGTCTACGAAATCCTTCATTTGAATAAAATGAATAAAAATTACACAATTATTAAATAATTTGTCTGCATCAATTAATTTATAAAATTAAATTAATGTTCTGAAATTAAATAAAACAAGTTACAATTTAATAATATTTAATAATAATCATTCTTTTTTTTAATGAAAAGGAAAAAAAAAAGTTAATATAAACTTCTGTATAGAAAATTAAAAAGAATACCCCAGCGTTTACACAAATTATACACCCTTACTTGAAGATGTACCCAGCGAATTTTTACACATTCTTCATATAAAATAATATTTAAGTACACATGTACTAAGAAAACCATTATCTTCATTGCCCATGCGATGATGTTTGTGTTTTATTTCATTTCATTGCCATTTAGCCCAATCGTTGTCCTTAGTATTAGTTATTCTACAAGAAGATAAAAGAAGTCAGTAAATCAAAGAAATGATTCTTGGGCGAAGCTATGTAGTAACGGTGTCATAATGACTGAAATTAGTAAAATAATTATGCATTTACAACCAGTAGTTAGTACGATATTCACTTGCCTTGTTCACATCCCTTTTCTATGCATGGTGAACATGATTTTGCCACATAGTACTAGCAATTGCATCCCTAACGTTCGATTGGGACGTTAACCCATGTTGTGACATGTCAACGTAGTCAGCTTGGTCTCCAACAAGCCCGTCTGCTTCTGCTTTTGCGGCTATTTCATTATCAGCTTCCATAAAGAATAGATCCATAGCTGCATGCAAACGGATCCAATTGTGCACTACACAACATGCAATCACGAGAGGCTCTTGTCGTGTAGACTTGTAATTTGGCATGGACCGCAATATTGGGAAGCGCTTCTTCAAAACACCAAATGTTCTTTCTATGACACTGCGTAATGACGAATGTCGATGGTTAAACAATTCCTTAGGTCCTGCATAACGATGGCCACGAAACTCTTGCAAGTGATACCGTTGAGACCGAAATGGGGTAAGAAATCCAGGCATGTTCGTGAAACCAGCATCAACTAAATAGTACTTGCCTACATGTAACTAATGAATACACAATTCTGTCAATTGATATGTACAAAAACATACAAAGAAAAAAGTGTACCATATGTTATTCAAGGACAGTCACCATTGGGTGGGTGTGGAAACTGTAGATCAGCTCGTGTAATAGAGTCAACCAGAATAGCGTTGTCGTGAGCACTACCTTCCCATCCAGAATTAATAAATGTGAACAACATATCGAAGTCGCAAGCTGCGAGTACATTTTGCGATACCGTTGCTTTCCGATTGCTAAATGTATTTTGTCTTGAAGCAGGGACCCATGCATCCACCAATGTGCCATCGATAGTACCGACACAATCCTAATTGACAAATATTTGTTTGATAGTAAAAGCGAAATAAACTTCGATATTACTTTTATAATTAAAAAAAATAATATTTATTAACACTTATTGATATGAACAAACTTACAGGACAGTCATACTGTTCGTACCTTGAACCAGGAAAAAAACTTCCTGTCATTTAAATTTTTTCCCGGTATGTCCTCTAGGTTACGTAGTTTGATAACCGATGATGAAAGTTTGCATAATGCCCGCATAATAATTTTTATGTGCCGACAAATTGTTTCCGTAGAGTGTTAAAAAGAAAAAAAAAAGAAAAGGAGAGAAAGAGAATTTATATTATTAATTTCATTTTAGAGAGAAGGGGTAGTTTGAAATTTGGAAGACATGAGGACACTAGTGTTTCTGGATGTTGCTGTATGTCACATGATGCCCCTGCAATGTCTGAAAATAGGACCCATGTCCAGTTCAAGGGAAATGCTACAAAGGTGCATATTATACGTATTTTGTTTTGTTTTGTATTTTGTTTATTTATTTATTTTGTAATGTTTAAAATTTTGTAACAAATGTTACGTAATTTATTGGTAATTTGAGAATAATTTGTGGTTTTTAAAGTGAAAATATTGTAAGTTATAATAATTTGTGATGCACTTACGTATTTTTATGACTATATCACAAATTGTTGTAACATATAATATTTTCATTTCAGAAATCATAAATTGTCGTAATATTACTAGAAGATTGCGTAATATTTATCACAAAACTTCTTAACATTATCAAAAAAATTATAATAAAGTGCATATTTAAGGCTATGTTTGGATAATAAATTTGGAAAATGAAAGAAAAATGAAGAGAAAAAAAATTTAACTTATATTTTATTCATATTTTAGTCATTTTTTTATAGAAAATTCTAAACATATATAAAATTTATACAAAAAAATTTGACAAGAATGATGTGACAATGCTATTATTATAGATAAATTCATTTTTAATGGTGTTTTATTTTGAAGTAAAATATTCACAACAAGCCACATCGTTATGAATGAATTTTTTGTTTGTATAACATTACTCTTTCTTTCTTTTTTTTTTAAATATCTACCAAAATTTATAATTCAAACACGATTTGTAAATGCATTTGAATATGTACAATTTATATGTACCATCCACACCACCCATTTTATATGTACAATTTGGATAAACTTGGAGGTTTAACTGTTAGGTTTGTATTACTACTCATTTATAAATGCATTTGAAGCTTTATTGTATCACAGTTGTCTTTGACTGTTGGTAATTTTTTTTTTTTTTTGGTCTCTTAGGCTGTGTTTAGTTCATAAATTTGAAGAGAAATTTGAAAAGAAAACCAAAAGTAAAAAGGTGTGTAAAACGTAGATGAAATATAGTTATATTTTATTCATATTTCACATATTTTTCCTTTTTCTTTTCATTACCTTTTTCAAATCTCTTCCAAAATTCATGAATTAAATACAATTAAATCCTACTAATTTTTAAAAGAATTTAAAATTGTTGTAGAGGTCCAATACCATATCCATTTACTTTAGATTCTCCCAACAAAATAGTGATTTTTGTTATTGACATTACTTTAAATGCCAAATTTCACACTATAATATGCCATGACACCATTAAGAATGTCACTTATTCTTTAAAAGAGTATTTATTACATCAATTCAAAATTAATTACTAGACATAACTTTTATTCGGTTGGAGAACAAACTGACACCCAAGCACGAGTCTTTATCACCGAATGAATTTTATCAATTTTTTTACATTTCATATAAATTTGCATAATAAATGTCATGGTAGACCTTACGCATACACATAACATTTTGTGTGAATCTATATAAAACGTGAATATAAATCAATAAAATACATATGGTATCAAATATCATTTTCGTTGATGATTCAGGTGAAAATGCAAATTATTTATCTTTCTTCAAATCATATGCATGTAAGGATCGTCAAATCATAAATCTACATTAGAAAAATGGAAAAGAGAGGAATTTATTCTTAATTATAAACTTTGTAAATGTGAAGTAAAATGGAGTACATCATATACACTTGATAATTACATAGATCATCAATGATGGCTCAAAATCATGCTTACCTATCTTCCTGAGAAAGCAAAGTTGGAGAACTCAAAGTTGGAGAACTTTTGGAACAAATGCTCTCAATATATATGTTGCTAAACAATACCTTTAATGGGTTCTAATGATAATTATCCCTCATCATTTTATGTGTGCTTTGATGAGTATTTAAAAATCTTTGAGTTTCTTTATTAAGTGTTTTTTTTTTTTTTTTGCCTTCTTCTTCTTCTTTTTATTTTCTTTTTCTATTTATATATTTATTTTAGAGTTCAAAAGTTATTTGAATTACACTCAAAGTCACCATGGCTTTGCCTAGATATACATCAACCTATATATACATAACTTTTCTTGTAAGAAATAATTATTCAGTAGTTCTGAAATATCATATAATATTCTGTAGGACAATCTTCACCGTATGAGTTCAAAAGTTATTTGAATTACACTCAAAGTCACCATGGCTTTGCCTAGATATACATCAACCTATATATACATAACTTTTCTTGTAAGAAATAATTATTCAGTAGTTCTGAAATATCATATAATATTCTTCATATGGTGCTTTTAATCAATGACAGAAAAATTTTTTTACAAGTAGAACAATGCTGAGATAAAAGATGACTCATCTGTTTTACTATTCTTTATTTATTGAGAACACAATATCAAATAATACTTTACGACTACCTAATAGTTTTATGTGAAAAGGGGTGAAGAAAGTGGCTTAAAGCACACTATTATCTATCGTTGCATGATTGTAACTGACCCTTTATGAACACTGCTAAGTGGGGCTATAGTTTGGTGACCTTCATTGTCTCATCAGGATCCCCACAATATTCATAGATTGTGCTAGTTGGAATTTATTGATGTTGAGGTCATTGTTTGTTTGTTTTTCAATAAATGTAAATATGAGAATATACAGATAAAAGATTGACATTACCGTTTAATTAGTGATGGCACACTTTTGAACCATTTGTTGTTCAATGCAGTAAAATCTTCTGAAGAGATATCTGCAAATAACCATTTAATTACGTGGTTCAAAATTCAAACTAAATGGTAATTAAACCAGTGCTGCATCTGTATCCGTTTCAAGGCCCGACACAAGAAATGGGTGTCCATAACGTGTCCCCAACTTGTCCTGCCAAAAAATAATAATTAAAAGATTGACACACCAAATGATATGTTCGGCATGTGAACACGTGTGTCCACACCGTGTCAAGTCCAATACTTGTTGAACACAAATATCACACCCATCTGGAGTGTCCATGCCTCCTAGATACTAATAATTAATTATCTAAAACCATGCAATACATGCTGACAAATAGTGTGGAGAGAGTTCTCATTTTCATCCTTCCTTTAATTTGGACAATTTGGACACGAATTTCCATCATTATTTCATTTACTTCAAAATTGGCTTTCACCACATTTGTCTATATAAACTTTTTGTATACACTGAAAATGTTTAGTCCGACACCATCGTTTCACCTGAAATGACATTCTACAAGCCCTAATGAATGGGCGACCCAATGCACAAGACTCCCGCTACAACCAGGTCTCCCAAATGAACAAGAATCCAAATATGCAGAACACCAACAGCTAATTCAGAGTGATTTCACATACATGAAGGAGAACTTCTCACCACTATTCAGTGCATAGAATTCAAATGTTTAGGTTCTGGCCATTGGATGGAGCTTAGTTACTCGAGCACTGTGAACATTTTGACATCAATTTGAGTCATAAAGGCCTCATATTTGCATCATGTATGTTATCCCTGAAACATTCCTCGTTTGCAAATAAATAACTCCATTCAACTTATGATTTGGTGTTCAATTACAAATACTCTCCTCATCGAATTCATCCATAAAAACATACCCTTCTTCTCTCATCAACCCGAGCAATCTGTCTAACATTTCATAAATTTCTTCAGTTCTTTCATTGGAGACATCTTTCGCAATAAAACTATGTAACCCTACACTTGTTTCGATCCAACTGCTACCAGGGATCTTCTTCAACCCAAGACTCTTCATCTTTTCCCTTACCTTTTCAGCCTCTTCCCATCTTCCAGCTCGTGAAAATAAATTTGCCATAATAATATAATTCCCTGTATTTTCTGGCTCGATCTCAAACAAATGATCACAAACAAACTTCCCAATCGCAGCATCACCAAAAACCGAAGCCCCATTAAGCAATGCACCCCAAACCTTGGCACTTGGCTCAAATGGCATTTTAGACATGAATTCAACAGCTTTGGAGAGCTGACCAGCTCGACTTAAAACTCCTACCATACAAGCATAATGCTCAACTGCGGGATGAATGTTGTATTTCCCAAGCATGGAATCAAAGTTCTTCCAAGCTTCATCTACCGCTCCAGAATGGGCACAAGCTGCCAAGACTGCAGTGAATGTGACAGGGTCGGGCATAATTCCATTATTCAACATCTTATCAAATAAATCGAGTGCTGTATTAGCATCTCCGTGTGCTGCATGTGCTGAGATTATTGCTGTCCAAACAATCACACTCCTATCTTTTGATTGTTCAAAAACTCTTTGTGCCCCTTCAAGAAAACCCAATTTTGCATAGGTATCGATAATGGCAGTCAACACATAGATATTCCTATCAAATCGGTTTTTAATGGCATATGCATGCATTTCTTTCCCGCCTTTTAGATTTGAAAAATGTGAAAGAGAAGGAAGAATGCTTGAAAGTGTCACCGAGTTTGGTCTTAAACTGAACGACTGCATCTCACGAAATAATTCTAGAACTCCCTCGTGCCGGTTGTTCTGGACCAAGCCTGAAATCACAGCATTCCATGCACTCAATCCCGGGCTTTTCATTTCTTGGAAAAGATCCAAAGCTTGGTCTACAAATCCATGAACCATGTACCCAGAAATAATTGCACCATAAGTAATCTCATCCTTCTCACTCATGTTTTCAAAAAGTTCTCTTGCATAATCAAAGCTACCACATTTAGCATATAATGCAATAATTGAATTACAAAGTGAAAGGTCCATTTCAATCTCATTTGAAATGATAAACTGATGAACATCCATTCCAAATACAAGATCATTCGACTGCGCACACGCTTGTAAAACACTAACTACTGTAACCCCATTTGGTCTTAATCCTTCCAAACCCAACATTTCCCTAAACAGTCTCTTGCAATCTTCATAATACCCTTCTTGAGAATACCCAGAAATCATTGAATTCCACGTAATGAGATCTCTCTCAGGCATTGTATCAAACAAAGTCCTTGCTGAACCAATATCATCACACCTCGCGTAATACGTAACCAAAGGATTCATAACAAAGGTATCCGAATCAAACCCATTTTGCACAACAAAACAATGGAACATCTTAGCCAACTTCAAGTCCGGAAACAAAGCCGACAACGCCTTCAACACCGACGTTATAGTGAAGTTATCAGGTTTCGCAGAAGCCGACTGAGAAGACAACCAATGACAGAACAAGTCAAGGGTTTCGATGTACATGTTGTTAAAGGAATACCCAATGAGGAGGGCGTTCCAAGAGAAAGTGTTTCTGTGGGGAATTTCGTCGAACAGTTTGTGGGCTTGAAAAAGGTGATTGGATTTGGAGTAGAAAGTGATGAGCTTTGAAGCGAGGAAGTTGTCGAGGAGGGTGGAGGAGAGGAGGAGGCGGGCGTGGAGCTGCTTGCCTTGGCGGAGGAGGCGGTGGTCGGTGCAGTGTTGGATGAGGCGGCCATAGGCGGCGTAGTCGAGACCGTTGGGTTTATGGAGGGTTTGGTGGATGTAGCCGTTGGCGATGATGGTTTGAATTTGAAACTTTAGGTACTTCGTAAACTTCATTCATCTGGAATCATGAGTTATCATCGTTATGGGACATTTTGTATTTTTATGGTAAGAGTCTGAGCCACCGTTTGGCCAGGGGATTTGGAGCTATTTTAACCACAAATGATAAAATAAGTTATTTTAGTTATAATAAATAAAATATTATATTAAATTTATAATCATTATACTCTTCTTCTATAAAAAAAGTTAAAAAGTTAAAAAGTCCTTCCCAAACTAAGCTTTTTAACCTAGGTTAAAATAGTTAAAAAAGTCAAAAAGTCAATCTACTTCCCAAACGAAGGCTAAATTAGGCTTCGTTTGGTTAGGATTTTTTGGACTTAAAAAAGTATCAAAAGGTAAAATAGGTTAAATAAATCAATAAGATAAAATATCACATTTAAATAATAATTATTTTACTTTTTTTTACACAAAAATTTAAAAAGTCAACCGAAACGAATTTTTTAATCTCAAATTAAAAAAATCTCAACTCAAAAAAATCAACTAAAAAAATCCTAACCAAACAACCACATAAGTGTTTGGCATGCACAAAAAAAGTTTATTTTTTTACATATATACATTTATTTGAGACACATCAATTAACATCTATTAACATCTCCTCTTTATGTTTTTACCCACTTTCTCTACTTTTCTACACATTTTTTTTAATATATAAAAAATTAAAAAGTGCACTTATTTAGAACATTTCAAACAACTCAGTAATTATGAAATGGTCACAATAAATTTCTTTAAATTTTGAATAATTCTACGGAAAGCCATACACCTCTCTAAGGTTGTGTACAATATGCTCTCCTATCATTATTAATGTAATTTTATCACTAAATTTTACAATATCATTAATAAAATATATAATCTCGTCATAAATTAACAAAACACAATATCTAAAATTTTGTGATTCATGTAACAAAAGTTTATAGTTTGATTACGATATTTTTTTGTTACGCCACAAGGTTACATATTTTATAATGATGTTATGAAATTTTATAATAAAGTTATGTTAATTTGTGGTATGGTCTAATTCTACCCATGCTAACTATCTTACTAAAATTACAAATGGTCAAATGTGATTAGTTGTCAAAAAAAGTAATAATATTTATATTTTCAATAATATTTAGACATGGATGTTTTTAGTAAGATTGTTAATAAGATTTTAAGTAGATGTAGTCTTAGTTTGTAAAGAGCTAAAATAGTTTGGTTTTTTAACTATTTTAGCCTGGCGTTTTTAGCCTCGTTTGGTTTTTGGTTTTGGTTTTTTTGACTTTTGTGAGAGAAAAAATGTAATGATTATAGTTTGGATGTGATATTTTGTTTTTATCGACTTATGTAGTCAATTTTATTTTTTGTATTTTTTTAGCCAAAAATTCATTGCCAAACATAGCTGTAGTATTTCAATTAAATTATATATTGTTTGCAATTTACTCTCTTAAATTTTGAGAGAAATTAAAAAAAAAAAAAAAGAAGGCTTGGCCATTGTAATAAAAGAAATATTAGAATTTTTAATTTTGTCAATTTAAACACAGAATCTTTTATTTGTTTTCAATTTGAACCATTTGCCTAGTTTTGTGAAGTAAAATGCAAGAAAAAAATATTATTTTAGTCTGTTTTATTTAACGAAAATAGGTAAATAATTTAGATTGCAAACAAAATAAAAGATTATGATTCAAATTAACAAAATTGAAGACTCATAATTTTTTTATTTTTTAAATTTTACAAGAGTCACACCTTGAGATTTTTCCTGTAACTTATAATAGGGGGAATTACTGTTCAGACTATAAGACCAAAAATAATTATAAAAGTATTGGAGTGCAACTTTTTTTTAAAATTTTTTTCACACCCACCATTTTTTGTAATCATTTTTCTCACCCGCCACTGTCAAGTAATTTTCCTTTATAATATTATCTTCTCACACTTAATCTTTTCCGTTACGATTCATTACACAAAATTAAGTCATGTGGTAATCTATTTATCTAAATATTTCATTTGTACTTTTATGTACTTTACCACAAAGATAAGAAAGGAAAAATTTAAATGAAATCATCAGATAAATATTACTATCTTGAAAATTCAAAAAGTACGTTATATATTTCAAACATGACTTCGGATGTAATATTATTATCTTGATCACGATTTAAATAGATTAGAAGGTAAATTGACATATCAAAAGTTCAGATGTGATATTGATCAGAAGGGTATAATTTGAGAGAAAATGAAATTTCCTCCAAAATAAACATCAAATAAATATTATTAAATTCTTAAAAATTATTTTCATCTAAAAAAGGAGAAAATCATATGATAATAATGAGTGTTCAAAAAAACAAATAAATAATTTTTTGTTCACACTGAAAAAAAGTCTTTTGCGTGCATGAGCCGGTAGTGGGTTTCTTGGATAGGGGATGAGAGCTCGTTGTTCTTTTTTTTAAAAAAAATTTTATGTGATAACGAAATGTTCGGCTGATGCATATTTCGATTAATTTCGAGATTATAAAGTTAATAATCGAACATACCACAACTAACTAGGCCTAATTTAGTTAGCCACCCTGCATTTCTTAAGGCTTAATCCCAATAAGGTAATAGGTTCAATTCTCCTTTAGAGGGTTCAATTAAAGGAATGCAAACACTTAGATGTTTTGTCAAATGTGAAGAGATTTTCTTTCATAAATACTAATCTAACAACTAACAATTAACATTTACCGATCAAAAATAAAATAAAATAATCAAACAAATCACTTCTGCCTTCCTTGAAGTAACTCAAAATCAAAACTTTGTATCTTATTCTCAAGTCTTTACCGCTTTGGCAAACCCTTGATTAAGAGAGCTCATTGTTAAGCAATTCAAATGGGATTTGATTTGTATGTCCATACGTTTCCAGTGCTCTCATCTCAATGTATTGCAAGTGTGGAAATATAAGGGAAGCATTACACCGTTCCAATGCCACGACAAAGAGAACTTGAGGCGGAAAACGTTTTCCAGCTTGATTTCCATTGACTTAAGTTTTTCTTCATTTCATACAAAATCATTTTTTTTGCTGAAAAAGCGTCATTTTCCAACAGTGGAGACCAATAGAAGACACAACAGGTGTTGCAATGCTAGAAACTAATTTGACTGATTTCAGATGGCATCCCAAATCAAATCAAAAGAATTGGCTCAGACAGTTTGTAGTAGGAGTGGGCGCGGGTCGATTGTAGTCACGGAACCTCTAATCCGTCATCCGTCCGCCAAATTGACAAATTGGAGAAAATAAATCCGCATCCGTCTGCCAATCCGACAGATGTGGATTGAGGGAATTGACGGTTTAACGGATGGATACAAATTGGTTTGATGGTTTAAAATTTTATAAATTTTCAACATAATTCAACTTGTACACCTTCTCCAAAAAAAAAGAAGAAGAAGAAAGTATTACAGTCAATGACTTAAAAAAATATTAGAATCACTGTATACCTCATCCAAAGAAAGAAAGTTTGAAACTTTAGAATATCACAATTACTACATGTCTCATCCACATATTACAATCACAGTGTAATTCATCCACATAAAGCATTACAATATAGTTCTTAAAATATAAAAATAATTCAAACTATCAAAACCATAAACAGACCAGTAATAGAAATTGTATGTCTATGTATTGTTACATCTATATATGTTTTGAAAACAAAAATTAATCAGCATATATCATATTTTCTATTTATTATTTTTAGAATTAGATTTAAAAACTAAAAAATATAAATAAATAATACGTCTATTTTTTTCAATTCAAAAAATATATTCAAGTTAATATATTCAAGTTGAAAACTTTTTTTCAACAAAATATTTAAACTCTTTTTCAATTGAAAACACAAACAAAATATTTAAACAAATTAAAAATATAAAGTCTTATAAATTAATAGGGATGCTCGCGATTTGACAGTTCGGTTGCGGCCAAAAGAATCTCAAATCCGCCATCCGTCCGCCAAATTGGCGGATTAGAAAAAATCAATCCGCAATCGTCCGCTCGTCATCACACATCCGTCCAAAATGCGGCGGATCGATTCGGTTCGATCGATTTTGACGAATCGATATATCCGCTGCTCAAAAGATAACCAAAACAAGAAAAAAGATAATAAAAAACATATATTTGAACGTCAAACTATAAATTCCTTTCATCAAATGGGAAAATTCCGATAAATGAGGTTTGAATAGAGATTGAGTCTAGTTTGAAATGGTACTACATTTCCTACTCTTAATTCGGTGTGAACATGATGTCCACAAACAGAACCAGTAAATTTGAAAAGGAAGGGAAGAAAAAAAAAGTTACTGAAGAACTCGCACTGAGATTTGATTATTTAGACAAAAGCTTCTGTTCTTTGTAATAAACGCATGCATCGCTTGTGTCTGTGATGGGAAGTGTACAAGTGCCATTCTAATCGGGTCCGGGAATGCTGGCCTGCAAAATTCATCCAAATGATTCATCTGAGAGAGAAGGGAAAAAAGAAAGAGTCGAGGAACACTTGAAGCAGATTATTTCAGCGCTAAAAATTCATTACATACTTGACAACTATTTGCATTGTGGATGAGTCATACAGACAACCTGAAAGGAACCGCCTACGTCATCTAGACGTGCATTCCTAGGGATTCCTTGCAGTAACACCTGACAAAGGAGCATAAAACATTCTTAATGTGCATGTTTTTAAAACAAATATTCATGTGAAATTACCAAATCTACCTTGCTAGAACCAGAAAAAGTTCAATTGCAAGAAAATATTTGACAGCTAATACGGACTGCATATAAAACATTCTGTGTCTACTTCAATCACACAAATCAGTATTCTACATCATGTGGAAAATTTTGCATTGGCAATATATGAGAGCAGTTTTTGCAGAAAGAGCCATATGTAGCACCAACAAACAATTTTTATAGGTATGGAGGCCCATCAATATTATGACAGGTCCATAGAGAATGACAATCACATTGATCCTTTCATTACCTTAGGAAAGAGAAACAGAAATACAACAAATAAAATCAAAAAAAATAAAGACAAAGTAGTAGGGGAAGGTATGCATACAGACAGACACTAAACAACTGGGTAATCACAAAAAATAATAATAATAATAATGGGGGTTTTGGTTTGAGTTTTTTGAATAAAATTTTTTGAAAACTGAGTTTTTTAATTTTCGTGTTTTTTTGTTTTTAGTGAATATTTTTAAAATTTTAAACATTTTTTTTACTTTTTTAGATGCACTTAACTTAGATGTATCTAAAAAATAAAAAAATTGTGAAAAATATTTTTAAAAATTAATAAATACATAAAAATACAAAAAAATGTACTGAATTCCCGTATTTTTTTTGTATTTTTGGTATTTAGTGAATTTTTAAAAGGATTTTTTTCACAAATTTTTTACTTTTTAGGTATATTTATGTTAGGTATGTCTAAAAAGTAAAAAAAATTGCTTAAAATATTAAAAAATTCAGTAAAAATAAAAAAAACACGGAAAACAAGAAAGTATAATTTTTTGAAAAGTGTTTTTGGAACACTGTAACCAAGCAAAGTGTAATAATCTAGCCTACTTAGGTGCCAAAAACCACATAAAATACAATTATATCGGCAAATATTTCACCTGCTTGTATAAGTCAAAGGTGAATGACTTCCATTAGGCACTCAAGAGAAACATACAATTATTAGATAATGTTATCTGAAGAACAAATGCCATGTAATGTTATCGGGAAAACATACAGTTAATAGATAAGGACTACGCACAGGGCATAAGAAGAAACCTTCAATGGTATTAAGATCTTAGAATAACTTTTGTAGACACAAACAAGGAAAAAATATTCAGGATTTATGAAATGCTCTTCATTACCTATGGCAAATATAAATATTTTGGTGTGCATTTGAAAATTAACATTTTTTAAAATTGATAATTTATTTGGGAGATATTTGCTTTCATGGAAAAAGATCCTCTCTTAATAATGCATGCATATAAACGGATGTCATCAGGTCAGGACTCAGAAGCGAAGGGTTGTAATACAAACAATTTGGCATATACACTGACACAAAACCAACGACAATATATATTAACAGGAACACCAAATATGGCTTATTCTAATCCTTGTGTCAACAAATACCACATTGAGCACGATTAAGATGCCATTTTTCAAATATTGTATGCTTAACTTTGCCCATGTATAACGCACAAAATACTTTATCCAGTGGCTTGGTCCTATTGAACTGCAATATCTAAGCAAGTGATTTATATTGCTAAGTAATTCAATCTGACGATCATCAATAAAAATAGCTAGTAAGGTAAAGTGTCAATATAAAAACTTCTACTTACAGATTTTCCACCATAGGGTGTAATAAAATCCCACTGGGACCGATCAGCCTGAAACCAATGAAACCATGGTTACCAAAGCATGGAACTTTTGCAGACTACAAGATGAACAACCTTGTAGTGGAAAATGCATTTATATCGATATTACCCTCTCCAGTTTATATAAGCGACCCTTCCGATTAATCGCCCTGATAGCAGCATCATAGGCATACCGAGAAGGAAACTGAATCATCCTGTTCACAACAACCAAATAAAATATCAACAAATTAATCATTTAAACAATACCCTCCTCAATCCACTTATGTGCAGACAAAAAATACCAATTCACATATACAATCAAGTAACAAATGAAACTAATATATTTCAATAATTCAACAAAGGTCAACCAAATGATAAGGACATTTACATTCCAGTTGGCATATAGGTTCTATTGTAGTCAACTTTCATATCATCCAAATTCACGTTACACCCTTCTAGCAAACTGATAATATCACTCTTTGTTGTATGTTTTGTAATGCCAAACAACTTCCCATAAACCAAACCTGACACAAACAAGAGAGATAGCACAAACACGTGTTAGAATGTAAATTACTTCATATCTGATTTATCTAACATTTTAAATTCTGATTTGTCTTTCTCAATATAAATCACTATATGTTTTCAATCTATCATGCCGCAAATTTCATTTTAAAATTTTCAAATCATACCATGAATTTGTCCCTTAAATACAGAAACAACACTCTACCTGCTGTTTCTAAACAATTCACCAAGTGAAAGAAGTTGTTCACCAGCAACAATAATAAAATAAAACAACATAAACAATTGATAAATCAAGAATTTCCCGAGAACCTTAAGGCAATATAACCCTCTGTTTGGTTGCCGAGGAAATACAAAAAAACAAAATGAAAATTTGAGTTCCATATCATCTGTTTCATTTTCTTCCCAAATAAAAAATTTCAACTAAACCAGGTGATATACTAGTACTAGTGTCAGTTTACTGAAACTTTTTTTTCTTTTTCTAGTTTCTCTAAGGCCCTGTTTTGGTAGCGTGGAGAGTATTGGAAAGTATAGGAAAGAGAAAAAAGAAAAAAAAAAATTGAATAAAGTAGAATCTATGAGATAGATTGAGGTTCTAGAAAACATGATGTATCATTTATAATAAATCCACTTTGTTAAATAAACACTTCTTATATCTGGATAACGCTAATTTAGACAAAATAAGAGAATTTTCTTTTGAGTTTCATGCAATTCAAACAATAAAATCTTATTTTGTTGCAACTTTCTGGAAAAAAAAAAAAAAAAAAAAAAAATTTCCCTCCCAACCAAATGTATATGTTGAAAAGTTACCCTTGTTTGCATTTTTCTTTCATTCACTTTACTTTATTGTACTAAATAAAATTTCTTTTCATTCTAACTACCAGAGCCTAAGGTTTTAAATAGAGAAAAAATTTCAAAACCAATGTATATTGTTCTATTTTCTAACATTTTCTCAGCAACCAAACGAAGCCTTGAGCCAGTACCTTAACCCTAATGTTGAATAATTTCCAAAAAGAACAGGGTAAAAAAAAAAAATGCAAACAAATGCCAGAATTTTGAACCATTTACTATGCTAACATATTAAATTAAATTCATTGTTATTTTTTATTGATCTGAAACATATAACTAAAACCATAAGAATATAAAACCCTAAAGCTAAAAACCCCATCTTCTCCAAATTCAAGTAATTACACAAAATCAGTATACAACAAACCCATCAGAGAGCCTAGCTATGCCAACAAAGCAAATTAAATTCACAGTTTTTTTATTTTATTTCATTGATTTGAAATATACAACAAAAATCATAAGCATATAAGACCCTAAAGCTAAAAACTCCATTTTCTCCAAATTCAAGCAATTACACAAAATTAGTATGTAACAAACCCATCAGAGAGCTTATTAAGCCAACAAAGCAAATTAAATTCACAGCTTTTTTAATTTTATTTTCTTGATTTGAAATATACAACAAAAATCATGAGCACATAAGACCCTAAAGCTAAAACCCCATTTTCCCCAAATTCAAGCAATTAGACAAAATTAGCATACAACAAACCCATCAGAGAGCTTTGCTATGCCAACAAAGCAGATTAAATTCACTTTTTTTATTTTAATATTTATTGATTTGAAATGTACAACAAAAATCATAAGCATTAAAAACCCTAAACCCTAACTCCTCAAATTCAATCGATTATACAAAAATCGTACAAAATAAAACAAAACCCACTAGAGGGCTTGAAAAGCTGAAGATTTGTGAGAACCTGTGCTTGGGGTTCGAAGAAATGGGTCTTTGGAAGTGTCCTGACTTGGCTGTTGGGGTTCGGTCGAGAAAGGTCTCGGCGAGTCACGAAGAAACAACGAGAAGCGTAGGTTTCGTTGATCGACTCGAATCGGACGGTGAGATTTGAGTGCGTTCCTGAGTAGATTCATCTTCGAGATATTGCTGGTTCGATTTCGATTGAAAACGAAGAGCAGACGAAAGGGTTTGATTGAAGGTTTCGGCTAGTCGATAGGTCTGCGAGCGGAGTACTTACTCACTTAATACGCTGTCGTTTTCTGAAGTTATTTCAAATGACAAAATTGTCCCCCACCATTTTTTTAGAGACTTCAGGAGGAGTAGGTTGTTAGGCCTTGTTTAGCATAAATTAAAAAATTTTAAAAGTCGTTATCTTATTTCAGATTATTTTATTTAAGTTACATTACTTCTCTACCATATCACTTCAAACCTAAGCCATACACAACTCATATTTTATAAAAAGTCAAAAAACATACTTATTTAGAACATCCCAAACCACCCCTTAATATATGAACTTATTATCTAATAGGTCATATAATAATTAATAATATTTTTTTATCAAAAATTTTTTAAAAATTATTAATTTTTAACGACAGTTTAAAAATATTGTTATAAAAAATGTTATTAATTTTTAATTTTCAATGACAATTTAAAAAATTTGTCACAGAAAAACGACACTAATTGTAAGTTTTAGTGGCAATTTATAAAAATTGTGACAAAAAAAGTCACTAATTGTCAGTTTTTAGCGACATGCTAAAAATCATCATAAAAAAAATTATTTTTAATTACGATTTTATTAGGACTTATTTTTAAAAAGGCTTGATGAGAATTAAGTCCAATTATTAGAACTTATTAGTAGTTTACCTTTCTTTTTTTTAGATTAGAAGGAAAAATTTCATTGCAAAACTGACAAAAAAAAATCAGATTAATTTCATATAGGATTTCATAAAGAGATAACAAACTTTCATAAAAAGAAGAATCATAGCCTCTATAGAGGAGGAAAAAACACCCTCATAAAGGAAGAACACAACTTTTACACAAAGAGGATTATTACAACAAACAATTAAAAAAAAAACCAAAAGCAATCAAATCCAAGTCGCCAAACAAATTCAAAATTCCATTGCACAGCAACCTTCAACTTAAAATATAAAGACCCTATCTTCACTAGTTAATAGAACATTGAGGTTGAGATAATCACTTAATGTGAAACGAACGCGTTAAATAGTATCAGTTTTCGGATTGTGAGAAGATCTGAAACTAGATCTTAAAGCTTTGGATGCGAGGAGAAAGTTTAGACGCAGGTCAAACATTATATTCAGAATATCAAAAAGAGAGAAAGATGACACCCATATCGGTGACCAGAGATAGATCTGAAAAAGATGAGGCAGATCTAATGAAGGTGGATCTATGGAGACGGGAAGGTAGCAGATGTTATCTTATTTCAGATTATTTTATTTAAGTTACATTACTTCTCTACCATATCACTTCAAACCTAAGCCATACACAACTCATATTTTATAAAAAGTCAAAAAACATACTTATTTAGAACATCCCAAACCACCCCTTAATATATGAACTTATTATCTAATAGGTCATATAATAATTAATAATATTTTTTTATCAAAAATTTTTTAAAAATTATTAATTTTTAACGACAGTTTAAAAATATTGTTATAAAAAATGTTATTAATTTTTAATTTTCAATGACAATTTAAAAAATTTGTCACAGAAAAACGACACTAATTGTAAGTTTTAGTGACAATTTATAAAAATTGTGACAAAAAAAGTCACTAATTGTCAGTTTTTAGCGACATGCTAAAAATCATCATAAAAAAATTATTTTTAATTACGATTTTATTAGGACTTATTTTTAAAAAGGCTTGATGAGAATTAAGTCCAATTATTAGAACCTATTAGTAGTTTACCTTTCTTTTTTTTAGATTAGAAGGAAAATTTTCATTGCAAAACTGACAAAGAAAAAAATCAGATTAATCTCATATAGTCGTAGCAAAAGATTTCATAAAGAGATAACAAACTTTTATAAAAAGAAGAATCATAGCCTCTATAGAGGAGGAAAAAACACCCTCATAAAGGAAGAACACAACTTCTACACAAAGAGGATTATTACAACAAACAATTAAAAAAAAAACCAAAAGCAATCAAATCCAAGTCGCCAAACAAATTCAAAATTTCATTGCACAGCAACCTTCAACTTAAAATATAAAGACCCTATCTTCACTAGTTAATAGAACATTGAGGTTGAGATAATCACTTAATGTGAAACGAACGCGTTAAATAGTATCAGTTTTCGGATTGTGAGAAGATCTGAAACTAGATTTTAAAGCTTTGGATACGAGGAGAAAGTTTAGACGCAGGTCAAACATTATATTCAGAATATCAAAAAGAGAGAAAGATAATACCCATATTGGTGACCAGAGATAGATCTGAAAAAGATGAGGCAGATCTAATGAAAGTGGATCTATGGAGATGGGAAGGTAGCAGATCTGGTGGCGGTGTGGTGGTAGCGGCGTCGAAAATATTGGAAGGATAAATTTTCAATATTATTAAGTAAAAAGACAATGAAAATGAGAAAAAAAAAATGAGTGCAAGGAGAAGAGAGAAGGCCAACAGCCAAAACCCCTCCCCACCCCAGGTGACACACCCAACAAAAAGCTTAAGGAGAGAGGCTTAAAAAGAGATGCACTGAGTTGAGAGAGAGAGAGAGGCCTTTCAAATGTCGGTCCACAAAATTGTCTACAATATTAAAATAAATAAGATTTATAGTTTTGGCATAATTGTATCAGGTGTCCTTAAAGGTATAATTTATAAAATATTTAGTCATATTTTCACAAATAATTTGTTCACCGCTACTTTCACATTGAAATATATATATATATATATATATTTCTTATTTATCTTTGTTTCTTTACACCATATGCATTAATTTTGGTCTCTTTAGTTTTATTAAAAGAGACGTTAATATAATTATACCAAAATTGTCAGTTTTATTGTATATATTATTATTATTTTTTCTTATTCAGTGCCTTTAGTAATCAAATTGTACAAAAAAATATCTAAAACCAAAATTGATACCAAAAGAGGAAGCAGCGCATAAATGAAAGAAACAAAAGAAACAGAAAGAATTGAACGGGTTAGAAGCAAAACAATTTAAACAATTTATCAAAATAACTTATAATTGTTTACTAGAAGTAACTGCAAAGAGTTGCTTCAAAATACATAACTTTAAAATCGAAAATACAAGCTGACTATCAAAGAAAGGTGTTGGTTCTCACTCAAAATCCTAACAAACTCAAACTCTGAATTACAATTGACTAGAATGACTAATTTATAAGCAAATGTGGTGACTGTGAGCCTCGTGAGCTGAGAGCTGAAAGAGCATGATGAAGCAAATGGGTGCTATCTGCTGCTTTCGGCTGATTGACTAAAACTGATAGTTGTTGTTGACTGTTGTTGATTGATGAATAGTGAATAGTAAATTTGACTTTTATTATTCATTGCTTTCGGTGGCATGTAACTGATGGAAATCAATATATAGACAAAACAACAGCTTTTCTCAAAAAAGAGTAGTGAGTGAAGCTATAATGCATATATATCGAATCCAATGTTGACTGGTTGAGCAATTGTTGACTAGTAGCTATGTATATGGGTCCTGAGCATCTTGGAAGTGGGCTGCATATGGATCATAGCTGGTTGACTGTGTAGTTGAATTGGATGAGCTGAATGAACTGGACTTTTGGGCCGGTGCAGCAGGCTTATCATCAGAAAGTTCATCTTTTAATTGGGCCTAGGCCTGATCCATCAGGAGACGGGCCATCTGGAGCAGTTGATCACTAGATGATCCAAGTTTAACCTTGGGCTTTAAATGAGTTGACTTAAATTTATCAGACTTGGGCTTTGAGGTAGTTGGTTGAACAACTTTGGATGACTTGGGCTTGGAAGTACCAGATGGTGGATCAATAGGACTTCCAAGATTGACTGGAGGAAGTGGGTTTCCTTGAGTGACTGAAGTAGTTGGGTTCTGCTGAACTTTGACCATTGCAGGTGTTGGAGCATGAACATTGACTGGGAACTCAAGTTGAACTTGTTCAATAATGCGGGGAACTTTGAAATTATCTCACCATTTAACAAAATGTTGCCAAGTGACTAGATTAGTATTTTCAATTCCACATTGCCATTTGAATATCCAAGAAACTTTGTATTTGGACATAAAAATGAGCAACCATGGAAATTGCTGTTGGTGTTGACTACGTTTGTAAACAGTTGAAAAATAGTTGACTTGTTCCATAAGATTGGGTGGAATAATCTCAGGTATTGCACCATGAAGAGACCACCATCTGAGGAACCATGTAGAAATGACTGATTTAAATTGATGATCAAATTGGAAGAACCAGGAGTGACTATATGACTCATTTTGATATAAAAGAACTTTGAGCCAGGCATCCATATAGTCATAATAACTATATTGGATTGAGTGACCAAGTAAATCTTGAAGAAGGTAAGGAGTACTCCATTCATTGAGAGATACAATATTGTGAATATAGAGTGAATGATAAACAATTTTACTAGGGAAAACTTTATCACGAATTGGTTTAATAAGAATAGACTGGTGGTTAAACAAAATATCCTTATAAAAAGAAAGTGTTTTATCAGGATGGAGAGGGACAAAATGCCATCCTAGGGGAAAGTATTTCTGAGTTAAATCAAGAACATCATGGATGTTCTTATGAATAGGTTCTTTGAAGAATAGGTTGACTGAGTAAAATTGAACATATTGTGATTTAATAATATTGACTGGATTGGGTGGAAATGGATTAAGTGTTTGACTAGAAGATGCAAAAGGATCTGAAGCAAGAGCAGAAGTGTAACTAGGTTTAGGAATGTTGCAAAGAACTTGGTAATGGTTGACCATTTCAATAGGTGGAATAACAAGAGGTTGACTAGATGAATAGTAAGGTTGACTAGATGGAACCAGGGCTTTGGAAGGAGGCCTTGAGCGAGACATCTGTTAAATAGAAACAAAGATTAGTATCTACTGAGGAGATCTAAATAATTTTGATGGTAATCCAAGCAATTGTAATAGTGAGCAAGTAAATGGCGACGACTTTGAATTTGATAAAATTGAATGTATTGAGCATGTTGAGTAGTCTTTTTAGCTAATTTGAGGCGAGCAATTTTGTGAGCAGTTTGGTGAATAAGATCATTGT